AATCATTGCTATATTTTCTTTGTATTTCATTAACCCATTCAGGAGGATGTTTCCATGGTCCACCATCCCAGCAGCTTGGAACTGAAAAGTGGTAAAAACTCTCAAACTCCACTAGAAGAAAAGATGGGTAAAATGTGGTGGAGATTCTGGATGAACAACATCACCTAAGACAGTGCAATGGGTGACCACGAAACTCTATTTTTAAAAGCAGACCATACCAATTTATTCAATACAAGACATGGAAGGAATGGACAGTTATCCCCCCCTTCTGCTTTACCCATGTAGTCCATGGGTGGGACCATTCTGGGAAGGGCAAACTTATGAAGCAATCTTATTGTGAGGATAAACCTATCTTGTGGAACACCCCATCTCTACAGTGTGCATTGCGCAGCCATAGAATTATAACATAGTGAGAGATTAACGTATCATTGGTACTCGATATGCCCGACTGAAGAAGTACCTCCAAAGGATGATGAAAAGAAGGAAAAGCAGCTAAACGGGGGGGTTATCCTTACGAGCCACCAAAGTGTTAGGGAGGAAAAACGATAAGAAGAAAGGAGAAGATATGTAGAAAGATAAAGAGTACATGAAACATCAATGACAAATAAACAGACCACTGACGTCCACAGGCGAATAAGAAAATGAAGAATGACATAGGGGAAGGTGAAACAAGAAGATGAAATGAAAATTAAAAGGTAAGGTGTCGATTTTGGGTAAGAAGACATTCAGAACAAACTACGGGAGGAAGATGAGAAAGAGGAAGAAGCCAATCACATGAAGAACCGAACCCAACTCAAGAAGGCGGAAGGAAAAAGAACACAAACAGAGGACAGTTGTCAAGGAAGAAAGAGGCGGGAACAGACACCACATAAAGAAGCCGTCCAGGCAATATAAGAAAGAAGAGCACGTACAGGACATAAAAGTCTAACCAGATCAGGATGAGGATATAGGTGTGAAATGATAAGAAGGGAAAGCAGCTAAACGGGGGAGTTATCCTCACGAGCCACCAAAGTGTTAGGGAGGAAAAACGATAAGGAGAAAGGAGAAGATATGTAGAAGGATAAAGAGTACATGAAACATCAATGACAAATAAACAGACCACTGACATCCACAGGTAAATAGGAGAAGGAAGAAAGACATAGGGGAAAGTGAAACAAGAAGCACTGGAAAAGTGGATCAAACATAGGCAAAGTAAGGCAGTGCAGGACCATATTAATATCCTCATCTGGAAGGGTAGCCCACTGCAGCAAATGACAAATCCGGAAGGAACACATCCAGAAAGAACGTGTAGGTAACTAGTGCAGGTGAGGGGACAGTACAGCCCCAAAATTCGAGATAAAGGAGGTGGAAGACCCCCGATTCAAACGTCAAGGGAGTAAATTCGCATGACGAAGAACAGTGGATTGATCTGGGGAACTACTGGACCCAGAAACCAACAACAGAAAAATTCCATTTGTGTTGAGAAACTTCTATGTAGGAAGAATGAATGAAACAAGCCAGAAAAAAGGCTAACCATTGGGAGAAGCCGGATAATCTCACTAATGAGCAGAGGAAAACCAGGCACGTAGATGAAGGACAGGAAGGTCTGGATGAAACACCAGTGATTGAGGGTGGTGAAAAAAAGGACAGAAACAGCAAAAACGGTAACGGAGGAGGAAGTTGGAGCTGGTGAAGATACAGAAACCACAGCTGAGGCAGCCAGGAAAAAGCTATCAGAAGAACTGAACACAGTGTCAAGGATGAATGAAATTATCCGGAGAAGAAAGAAAACAGAAGAATAGACAAATTTGTAGGTCCTATTCTGACTGAAAACATCAATAGTCAGAGCAAGAAGACAAGGAACTGGAGATCAAAACCAAGGCAATTTGTGGTTAAGGGACGTAGCAAAAGCCTAAATGTGAGGAGTATCCCACTGAAGACAAAAATACTGGAAAACTAAAGGTTCGAGAGACCACTCTGCCATATAAATGTTGTCTAGACAGGAATCCAACCCACGATAAGAGTGAAAGCACCTGGAACATGACATGAAATGATAAAAATATGGAGTGTGTGGGCCCAAAAAGAAGATCCAATGTATGAATACAAAAGGCTAGAGAATGGATGCTGCCCTGGCGATTGAGATAAGCAACCACTGAAGAAAAGTCAGAATGAATCATTAGCAGATGATTTTGGGCCAGATGGAGAGAATGAACCAAAGCAAGACCTACAGCGAGAAACTCCAGGACACTGATAGGATAAGACCTCTCGGCCACAGACCAAAAACCCTGAATCTACCAACTGATCATGCCTCCCCCCCCATCCCTGAAGGAATGCATCCATGAAATGTGGAAAATCAGACAAGGAGGAGGAAGTGGGACACCTACTAATGTGCGAGTCATATCTAACCACCAATGCTGTTCAATGACATAGGTAGAAGGAAGGGTAATAAGAGTCAATAATGGATCCATGCAAAATTCCACTGGTCATGAAAAGCCTATGAAAGGGCCCGTATCTGAGCCTGACCTAAAGGGGTAAGGGCTACCATGGAAGATCACATCCCCAAATGCGATACAACTTCGCAAGCTATAATCAAACTGAAAACCCATTTAACAAAGTTGAAGATGAGTATGTATAAGATATGTGTAGAAAAAGAAAACACCAAAATGGACAAGATATTAGATAGGTTGCAGTAAGGACTTCTCCAACTTGATTAACAGCCCATAAGAGCTGCCTCTACGAGCAGCTGATAAGGGTAACAGTCAGACTCCTGTTTGGAATGAGTGAACAGTAGCTAGTCAACCAAAGAAAGGGGAAAGTGCAACCCAAGAGCATAAGTAATGAATGATTGCTCTGAATGCTCAACAAAACATACAGGGCCGAAGAGAGTCCAAAGGGCAGTGCACAAAACAGAGAAACCACCCCATGGAGAATAAACCAAAGAGAGGGTCGCGATTGACGAAATGTCAGAATATCCACATAAGCATTCGCAACATTCCTCTATGTCATTGATAAACCTGGAGAAAAAGCCCACCTGAAGGTGAGAAACAAGGTGAAACAGGGCAGATTGAAAATGAGAAACCTAGTACACGCCACCTATCTTTGGTTTAGTGCGAGGACAACAAACAGCTTGGAGGAAGATGATGAACAAGTGCAACAGCCTATAGAGACAGAAAATCTTATACCGCCTTGGACAGATGCAGGCTGGTGGCAGGGTCCCAAGTCATGGGGAAGGAAAAGGGTGCCAAAGGAGATGGGGAAAGAAATAGTATGACAAGTCCCTCTAATAAAACCCAAAGAACTCATGGAAATATAGTGAAAGATCACCAAAGGCTAACAATATAATATATTCAAGCTCCCACTCCAGAATAAAAGCTCAATAAAATGACGAGATGAGAAACCCATGGAAGAAGGACAGGGACGGGTAGATAAGGATCAGAATGGAAAAGGAATAGGGGTGTATCGTAGCTCCAACTGCAGCAAATGTGCAACCAAAGAGGAAAGGGTCAAGTGTTGATGCACAGATTACTTACGAGATTCCAACATCTAAGATACATGATCAAAAACATATCACCAAAGAAAAAATACAGAAATCCAAAAAAAGAAAAAGGCGGCAAATGTCCCAAGGACAAGGTCTCATCGCGACCCAAAAAATCCCAACTACAGTGAAACCATAATCGTAAAGCGAGAGCCGAAGATGACAAACATAGAGGTAATAAGGATTCATAGAAAAACAGAGAAGTAGATAAAACATAATATACCTGAGAAATCATGCTGAAAAATGAAGTATTAGGTCTAGCCAATTCTGCAGGAGGGGTAGGGAAAAACACAGCAAAATCCAGTGGGGTAGAAAGGCTTTCAAATCTTCATCAGCCCAAACTAGTTCGCCTTGTTCAGGAGGATTAGAGGGGCAAGTTCAGGAGAAGAAGGTTTACCCATATAACAGTCAATCTCACAATGGATAATAGCAGAGAAATCCAATGACGGGTCTCCTCCAACTGCAGCCTGTGACAATAGTGCTTTAGGTATGACAACTGAAGTGGAAAGACGAACCTCAAAATTCCTAGAAGAAATACACAAGTCAAACAAAAGTGTTTGATGTAAAATATACAAGTGTGAGGGAAAAAATAAAGACTGGGAAATGAACTTAAATTAAAAGATTTCTTCAATGTAAAGAAAAAAATAACAATAAAGAAATCCAACTTTGGAGTTTTAACTGTTAAAAGAGCACCAAAAGAAAAACGCCTGAACACGAGTACTGTCAAACAAGAAGTAACAGTTTGGTTAAGTTGAACAGAGGGAGTCACATGCATCATGAGAGTATGTTGCACTCATATTGGTAGAGGATTGAGATGCACTGGAATCAGTCAATTCCAATGGAAGGGAGATAGAAGGCTTGTAGCATGCATAAAAATTGATTTTGCATATAGTGGGCAGCATTGAAAGAGAGGAGGTAATGTACCGTATTGGAAAACATAGTGGTGGTTGAAACACTATTTATATCATAAACTGCATGAGCAATAACACTTATGACGTGAACTATATTACATTTGTTAAGTGTAATTATTATCGATTTTTATTTATGTTATTTACATATCAGAATTAGAGTAAACTATTATAACACATCATTATTTATTTTATATTAACATCCATTATTAGGACTCACTTTTGAAAAACAAATGTGTATGACTGTATTGATTTACAGTGCAAACAAATATTTACATAAAGGTGGTTCAACATACATACAAAATCATATAAAATTAGCCATAATGCTAAAAGAACCTCCAAAACTTACCAAGCTTGCTTTAAAAATTGTAAAAAGTAGACTACTGAGAAAAAGACATACACACACCTCCATAATATCACTCAAAGAACTAATCATTAGAAAAACTTCTACACAAAAAAGAAATGATAATGCTAATAAAAACAAATATTTAGTTGGCCTGAATTAAAGCATATTTAAGGCTTTCTCAGTTGTTGTTATAACTTATTCATACAGAATTTTTTTATTTTAAATGCCAAACCTTATTCCTTGTCCCATATCACGTAGCATGCCTTTTGCCTGCCAGTGACTAGCAGGTAGACCATGGGTTTCTAGATCTCTACCTCTCTTTACATAGTTTTCCAATTTTTTTTTGTAGGTGAGCTACTGTCTGTGCAGATTTCTGGTTCTTTTTTTCAAAAACGTTTTTTATCCGTTGAAGCTGCTGCTTATCAGCACTAGCTGCAAGTTTCAGGTATTCATTAACATTTTCTGAAATTAAATTAATTAACAAAACCTCAGTCAAGGAATGATATATGAAGAAAGACCATCTAAATACAAAATAACATATTATTCTTTTATGCCACAAGAATAAGAAGAAATTTTTAAATTATATAAAGACAAACAGGGATCATTATATACGTAACCTAACTAGCTATAGTAATATAGACAGTTTTAGAGCTACAAAAAATATTGAAACAAGAAAGGCAAAACTAAAAAAATGAGTTGCTTAAAATTAAAAAATATTTATCTAACATTTTTACAGTGATTTTCCAAAGTAGGGATAAAATATTTTAGAAATTAAGTAACTCAGTTTTTGTAGTTTGGACTTTCTTTCTTTGTATCAATAAAACTTTCTGTATTACTATAGCTAGCTAGGTTACATGTGTGTGTGGGGGGTGGGGTTTCCTTATATAATTAAAATTATTATTTTTTATTATACTTCTTTCTTTCCTTTTTATTAGCTATATTTTTGGGCACCAGAAATACCAAGCATGGGGTGCGCATACACCCAATTTGGTTTTATTACTCATCAGGATCTCTACCAACCTTCCCTCAAGTCTAATTATATGTCCAAAATAGCGCATCATCCATTTTATATATACCAGTATCCTTTTTGGTACAAGAAAGAAAAGCATTGGCACTCCAAACAGAAGACTTAAGTGAAAGAATTAGAGCGACAACTTTCATCATTTTCTCTGTATACTTGTCTGGAAAAGTCACTTACCTACTTACTTAGATGAAAATTCATTGAAATTTTGATTTACTCCATAAACATGTTTATAGCAATTTAGGCAGCTTTATAAATACAATAAGCTTTAGTTCTGCTCAGCCAATACTGTGAAATAGTCATTTTTAATATTCGGACATTTTAAAGGGATGTTTTTATGGCAGCATTTTGTTTCATGACAATCCCTACTCTGTACTACCATAAGTAACAATAATTTTACCAACAATAAATAAAATGCTATATTGTTAAGACTCATTATTAGATAGGACTCTAGGATACAGTAGTACAAAATCACATAAATTGTCAGGTAATACTCATATGCTGTCCACTTAAACATTTGAGATTTTATCTTACTTTAGATAAAACATTCATAACTCATAAAATTGAATTTCTTAAAAGTAAACTTGTTTATTACAATTGTTACATATTTTTATTTTCAATGTTGTGTTGATTGACATTAATATTTAAAGGTAGGCATATAACAAATCTTTACGAACTGCCAGTTGTTTCAGAAATTAAAAACACCCAAAATTATAATAAGAATGCCTACAACTGAAAAACATTAGTGTTCACAATTAATTTTATACTAAATATGAATTTATATTGTTTATTATAATGTTTGTAAATTTCTTTATACTTTGCTATGTACATTTATGTTTGCAAGATGTGCGAGAAAAAGTTTTTAATGACCCAAGTTAATGTTACATTGTATCCATAAGCATTATGCTTATTAAGTCTACACTCCATATCAATATAAAGCATACTTGTGTAAATACATGTCCCAGATTTAAATGGACTTTTTCAACATTGTATTTCTACTCTTAAATATAATAATTTCCCAATACAAATGTACAGCTTTCTGGATAAAGTACTCGATTTTGAACCTGGATTCTATCCATGCTTCAGTTTTGATATACAGCAGTGCCCCTACTAATATAAATTCTAGTGATTTATGTCGTGCTTCCTAATTTTTCATTATATCATGCTTGCTGAAATAACTCAAAAGTATTTTCCAATCTTGATTCAACTGAACTCCCAGACTATTTATTGATTTCCAAATAATAAATGCTTAATACAAAACACACTTCTTTATAATTATATTTCTTAATTATCTATATTAAAAATCCAATAAACTACTGTTATCATAAGGATTTATGTGTAATTATGATTAAAAATTTAATTAACAATATATAATGTCATAAAATTCATCAAAGTCACTAACCATCTCGAGCAGTTTGCTCTAGCTTTATTAAATCTTTTGTTCGAGCAACCTTTTTATGAAGGTTCTCGATTGCTTGCTTTGTGCGGAGAGCATCAAGAGGATTATTAGAAGAGTTTCCATCTGGTTCATCAGCACTACCAGTGCTACCTCCCTGAACTGTTGGAGTAGACTGAGTATCCATACTACCATTTGGAACTGGTGGTCCATAGGTGACATTAATTGTATTTGCTGAATCCTGTGTACATATATATATTTATATACATTAAAGAAATATATAAACATATAAATAAATAGATAAAAAATTAATTTTTCTTAATTAACTTAATTAGAAATAATTGTAACCAGCCTCATGACATGTGGTTCACTTTTCAGGTAAATTTTAAAATGTTGAGCCTTGCAGTCGTTAAACTTATTCATATACACATGGAAAGTATTTATATCATTTAGTGAAACTGGTTGGAGTGACTTTTCATAATTGATATATTCAATATACATACTGTGCATAAATAGTGTCTACTTATGATAGAAGTTCAAATCACAGAAAGAGATGAGTTATAAACAGTCCTTCAGCCAACTGCACATATTAGTTTGCTCTTGCACTGTTCAATTGTTTCTGGTTTCAGAATTACTTGTCCATGTTAATGAAAACATGATGGACTTAATGATATGAAAAGTGAAAAGCTAAGTAAGATTAAGCATTTTTCTCTAAAATATAATTTTGTTTTATTATAGTGATAGTCTTATATTAGTATAAAAACTAATAACATATAATTTTATTGAAAATATAATTGTAATCCTTGTGAATGCCAAATTTCAAATGCTTAAAGAGGCTGGTGCAATAAGCTGCAAGCAATTATGTATCCAAGTTATTTCTGGATGTAATGTATTTTGGATTTTTAGAATAATTTTTTGGGATATCTTTAAAAATGAAGGATTGATTAATTAGATATTATGAAAGTTAGTCTTTCAAGGTTCAGTTTGCAGTATGTTCCATCAAAAAAAGTGATAGAAATTATGAAAATATAAGGGAAAACTGTGTGTGCTATGTTAAATGATCTTCAAGCTTCACTGGTCACAAATAATTGCTCAATTAAATATCTCACTATCTGTTGGTAAAAGATTATCCTAAAATTGGTGACAGGCACTGTTGGTTATCCCAAATTAATCAAAAAATAATAATGAAAAATCATAATGGTAATATTTTGATTACTTGGATAGTTGGAATAATCAAAAACAATACTAACAAGAAACACTAAGTTCAATTATATGACTGGTTTATATCACATTCATTAATGTAACTGATGCTAAAAGGTAATCAATTATATTGATTTGAGTTAATCACCCAGCTCTAGCTAATCCTGACAATATATATTTAATTTCATATTTACATGCCTATAAGTTTGAAAGAAACAGTTATAGTTTGTTTTGTATTTTATGTTTTCTTATTAGTAATTCCAGTTATTATAAAATGATGAAACTTAAATACTGCTTGAAAAATAATAATTTTCTAAGTTACACTATATTTTTTATTATTATTATTATTATTCAATAATAATTTCATAAATGAACCAGCTTGTATCTTTATTTTGTGAAAAATTTGATCTCAAAATTCTTTCTCTTAAAAGTTTATACCAATCCAACATTTATTTAGGCACATGCACACACACTTATATACACCTCACCTGGATGTCAGATACATCATCAGTAACTGTACTGTCATCCCCTAAACTAGTATAAAACTGAGAGTTTCCCCGCAAACTTCCTGCCACGGAACTTGTGTGAGATAATGGTGTGCTTGTTAAAGTTACACTACTAGGCGTAAGATACTGTTGTGAAGCCCCTGAGACAAGAGAAGATGTGGACGTTGGAGGAGTGGACTGCTTTGGTGTACCACTGCTGTCACTAGACGAGCCACCCTTACGAAGGAGAAGGGGGCTTTTCTTCCGTTTCATCATAGCATCAGGACTAAAAGGTAAATTTTTCTCTAGTATCAGAAGCTCACTTTTGTTTTTATAGTATTTTTTTCAGTTCACTAATACCATATATTGAACATTTTTGCTGTGATAAAATAATACAAATTTCATCACATCATAACTTATGAAAGTAAATCTTTATACTGGTCATGGCCTCAATTTCTATGGAAAGCACAGTCCTTAAATTATAAGTCTAGTATTAAACCTTCTCTAATAATTTCATAACATTCTGTACATCTGTTAAATTTATATTACAACAGAAGATTATAATTGTTGTATTTTTCCAGGGCCAAAGGCAGCTTATCTTGTATTTCTATAGTATATTAAACAACAACAAATTTTGATATTTCTAATAAACATTATTTCTATGACAATTACCTAAATTAAAAAATACTGTAGTGTTTATCACGAACAAAAATTAATTTTTACGGTTACAATTCAGCATGCTGATCCTGTACGTTAACCACTGTCTAGATATAAAATTGAGCTAGGTGTTCAAGTTACTTCTCTATCAAAGTACTATAGTATAAATTCAAAGCCCAATTATTGATGAAATAATGACATTTTTGCTATTCTAACTTTGTTTTGGATTGCACATAGGCTTACTAATCCAAGACACCAACTTAGATTTCATCAAACTAAGTTATTATTGCTATTATTATAATTCATCTCAAATTCAATGCTTGTAATAATTATGATAATATTTACATATGGCTTTCTTAGTTACAACTCTCAGCATTTTATTCAAATATGATCCTGAACAGACACTTTTCCTTGAATTTATGCTGATGATTGAAAAATTCAAATGTCATTAAGGAATATTGTGTATGTTTTAACTTCTAATAAAGTTATTACACTGAGCTTATACTTTATTTAAACTATAGTATACGTAGGATTTTGTGTTCATGTCAAGGAACAGTCTAAAATGCTTAATGTGGAAAACTTTTTACAGTGCAAAACAATCTTTTTTATATAGTACTTGGAACAGCCTGTCTCACAATATGAAAAGTTTTACATGAATGATTCAAATTTAAGCACATTAAATGTTTTCCACTTTAAGAGCATTTTGCATTCAATGATTATTGAAAAGGTGCCACATGCCTGGAAGTTGGCTAATGTTACTCCTCTTTTCAAAGGAGGTGGTAGTAAAAATGTTCCCAGTAATTATAGGCATATTAGTCTTACACCATCAATGGGGAAAGTTTTTCAAAGTCTGTGAAACATTCTTTGCAAAGTCTTTTAACAAAGTTTAAAATTTTGTTGGATAGATAGCATGGTTTCACTAAGGGAAAATCTTGCCTTAGTAATCTTTTAACAGTAGTTGAAAATGTTACTACTTATGTAGATGAGAGTATGGATGTAGATTTGGTGCATCTAGATTTGACAAGATACCACATAAAAGTCTTGTTAAAAAAAAATTTCGTTGTAGGTGTAATGAATAGGTTGGCTCATTGGATAGAAAACTGGCTGGATGGAAGAAAACAGAGTTGTTATAAATGTAGTTCAGTGAAACTGTACTAGTGTCATTTGCCATGACACTCATTTAACCAATGTAAAATAAGTTATAGATTAAATATTATAAAAATAAATAGAAATTATATGCAAATATGAATGTTAAGACTCCCTCCCTTTCAAATTCCTGGATATGCCAGTGGTCACAATTGAGGTATGTCAGGACTCAGTGTTAGGACCTTGCTATTTCCGACATAGATGAATGAATGGTCAATACATTATTTAAATTTGATAATGATATTACGGTTTTGAACATTGCTGGCTAGGAGAACAATGCTTCTCCTTTATAACAGGATTTGGATTATTTGGATAGTTGGGCAAATAACTGGCAGATGGCAGTTAGCTATAATATATGCAAGGTAATGCACATAGGATACCATAAATTGAATTAGGAGCACAGTTTAATGCAGATAACCTTAACAGTGTTTTGTAAGAAAATGATCTTGATGTTCTAGTTGATAATTCTCTTAAGCCATTCAAACAATGTGCTGTTGCTGAAAGCAGGGCAAACAAGGATATAGGTTTTATCTACAAAAATATTAAATACAAGTCTAATTTAAATGTACAGGTCACTGGTTAGAAAACATTTGAAGCATTACATTCAGTCTTAGGCTGCTTACCTTAGGAAAGACAATGAATTGTTAGAAAGGGTTCAGAGAAGAGCTACTAGGACAATACCTGGGATGGAAAGGTTGTCATACGAGGTCAGGTTAGGAGTGCTAAAATACTTTTCTCTTGAAAAATAAAAGAGTTAGAGGGAATCTGACCAAAGTATTTAAGATTGTTAAGGAAACTTATAGAGTTGATGTATCATCTTTCTTCGCACTAAGTAGAACTTGGGGGCACAAGTATAAATTTTCACAGGATAGAGAGTCATCTTCAGCTAAGATAGCTTTATTTTTCTAACAGGATGGTTGGTATCTGGAATGGGCTATCTTCTGATGTGGTGGATGCAGTTAATTTAAGATTTTTAAGGAAATGCTTCATAAATATTTGAATGATAAGGCTAGTTTTGAGGGTTTTATTTTCATTTGAAAGTTTAGTTTATTGAATGGGATAGCACAGATGGGCCAATAGGTCCCTTGTTGTCCTTATATTACATATATGTGTATAATAAATGAATAAATACATATATGTTATGTATAATTAGTTATTTTTATGTCATTCCCACATATATATATATCACTTACCCAAAATATATATATATATATATATAAATTTAAAAACTTCTTCCCAAAAAAACGAAAATTGTCAAACTAGAACCTAACTGTAGACTGTTTCGTTACTCATTAGGCCTAAGCGTACCACTATATGATGACTAGAAGTACACGATCAGCTTCTGGTGTTGTTACTTTGTCCGTAATGTTAAGAATTTTCTAAAGTTATTAAAAAACCAACTTTCGCCGTCTACTTATTGACAAAGTTTCAACCATATCTCTACCCCTCTATCAATTCACTGTAACAGGAAACTCTCACATATAAGAAAACAAACATAATTTTAATATCTTCTATCCCAGAGTAAGCCTAACCTTAACAACAACAGTAACATTGTTGTGTGTCGACAATGCTTCACTAACGTTAATATTAACAAGTCTATACACAAATAATGTATATTTCTTATCTGAAAAATATAATATTACGAACTTAATGGTAACACTGAAAGCTAGAGCAGCAATGAAACCAATAAACCTAATAATCAATTATAAATTGCATAAATATATATATTTTTCATATTACTCTTAACTGATACATTACACTAATTCACAGATTTCACACCTCTAATTTGAAATCCTTAAGAGTTAGAATAAATAATAATAATAAGTTAAAAGTCATCTCCAGTTTAACTTGATTTTTTCTCAGAGATATTCTAATTCGGTTAAATGTATCTGAACTTGATCACCCGTTAATTACTAAATTAGTGGCTGTATACGATGCAAAATTATTCACTATACTTAAGTTTAAAAAAATGATGTAAAATATAAAATTATAAACTGTGTATAATTAACTTAAGCGTGACCTATGACATTGAAATAGAATTTTTACCGGTTATTTGTCCTCCAGAAGTCGTTTTCCGTGAAAAATGTAAATCGTAGCTCACTATCTACGAAACATCGAAAAAATATATTATAATGCTGATGCTACTTTCTATTTTATATACGTTGTAACGTTAGTTAAGGAGATTATTCAATGTCGTAAAAAATCAGAGCCTCCAGGGGGCGTTTGCTATATTTAGATACGTACACCAACAGGACCCTGGTGTACCATTAGCCTATCGAAACATTTAGATAGGACATTTTAAACCGAAGAGGGAATATTAAGTCATTGGTTGCGTTCAATCGAGTACAACTACCTAGCGTTGTTTAGTTGCTACGTTACTGCGCAGCCGCTCTAGTGGTGGTTTTAAACGAACTCTTACTCATTGTGGGTTAACTAGTCACTATCAATAACTTCTAATCAAAGCAAATTGTCTAGATGGATAAGAGCTAAAAAATATTCCAGTAAAGAATGCAGTTAATTTCATATACCGTTCTAACTAGTATTGTGCAATAACATAAATTTAAAACTGATTATGATTCTAAGGCATGTATTAATCGGATGAGTATCCTCACTATTAGCAATACTGTCGGCACTGCTGACTTAAGGACTTATGATTGTAATATTACCTATAGTTATGTACACTGAACTCAACGTCGACCAAGCGGAATAATATTTTTTTAATAGATAACTTATTTTAAAAAGAAAACCTCTTTCATTAAACGAAGACAGTCATAACAAGAAGAACACCCTTAGAAGTCGCCATGATAAGACTCGAGATTGCTTTAATGTAGCCGCTCTCATAGAGCGCAAGAAAAGCGGATCGTTCGGAACTCAAGATTACGTATCAGCTACAGAGCGTCTCTGTTCTTGAACGCATCCATTGGTTATTTTTCTATGTTGCAAAATATGTTCACAGAAGAAACAATTTATTTTTAACGTTAAACTGTTTGAATATATATTAATTAGTATGATTGCACTTATATTAATGGACGTTTCTTTTTGGGTTTTCTCTTTTAATTATATATGATTATATTGTGACATATATTATTTGTTTATATTACAGACATAAAAATATTTTAATTTCAGGCATATAAATTAGGAGATGCTAGAGTCAAACCGTGAAGGAGGAAAGTTTTGGAAACTGTTCAATATGGCTTTCTTCACCAATTTGTCAAGGAACCTACTGGAAACAATGCTATTTTAGATTTATTGTTAACTTCAAATATAGAAATGATTGAGATGGTGGAAATTGGGGGACATCTGGGTGCAGGTAATCATTGTTCTATTAGGTTCAATGTTTTGCTGCATGTAAAAATAAAGAATAATGATATTTCGGTTACAAATTTCAAAAAAGCTAATTTTGAAGGGATGCGACAAAAATGATCTGTTGTGAATTAGGCAGCGAAGTTATTTGGAGATCAAATGGGGAAATTTGTAAATGATACATTTTTAAATATTCAAGGCAAATATATTCCTTATAGAAAGGAAAGGGTGGCTGCAAATACAAAACCAGATTTGCTCATAAAAAGTATTGTTACGTCTCCGTTCGTTAGTTGATTTTCCGTAACTTCGTTCCGACGAAACTTTAGCGACACAAGTCCTTACTTAATAAAACTGGTTTATTCTTTCTGAATATAACTTTACCGATACACTTATTTTCAACAGTCGCTCTATAACAAACGCTATAACAACGAACGTTAACTTCAACAATACTTTCTGACTGCAGTTCAATTACTCACTACCTACACACATTGTCACGTCACGCCGTGACCATCTTATATATACCAGGCCACCCCCAATCTAGCAAATGCTAGAGCACTCCCGAAGGAACAGGATAGTTCTAGGAAACGGGTGGCGTGATACTAGTCACGAGATCTCGCTGATGCAACATTATAAAAGATAAAATTATAGAAAAGCATCATAAGTTTCAGAAATTTAAATTCATTGGTATGGCGGGAGATTTAGAAAGTTATTAAAGATCAAAAAGTTGATCAAACAGGAAATTAGGACATCAAAAAGGGCGTTTGAGAAAAGGTTGGTTGAAAATACTAAAATTAACAATAAAGATTTCTTTAAGTACATTAAGGGTAAACAAAATGTTAGGATTGGGGTTGGACCCTTGAGGGATAATAAAGGAAGGCTCGTAGCTGATGATTATGAGGTGCTGGGTTATTACATTCTGCTTTTTTGTAAGTCCTTGAATAGTGGACAAGAACCAGAGGATTTGAATTTAGCTAATGTCACTCCTCTTTTCAAGGGAGGTGATAAAAATTGTCCCAGTAATTATAGGCCCATTAGTCTTACATCAATTGTGGGAAACGTTTTGGAAAGTCTGATAAAAGATGTTTTGCAAAGCCATTTAACAAAGTTTAGAATTATATTGGATAGTCAACATGGTTTTACTAAGGGAAAATCTTACCTTAAAATTCTTGAGACATTCTTTGAAAATGTTACTGTTTATGTAGATGAGGGTTAGGGTATAGATTTGATGTATCTGGATTTTCAGAAAACATTTGACAAGGTGCCACATAAAAGGCTTGTAAAAAAATTTCTATATAAGTGTGGGGAATAAGTTAGCAAATTGGATAGAGGAGTGGCTGGATGGGAGAAAGCAGAGGATTGTTATAAATGGAGTTCAATCAAACTGGATTAATAACACAAATGGGCTACATCAGGGCTCAGTCTAAGGACCTTTGCTCTTTTTTATTTACCTCAATGACATAGATTAAGGAATGGTCAATAAATAATTTAAATTTGCAGATAATGTTAAAGTCTTGGGTGTTGCTAGTTGTGAAGAAGATGCTGCTGCTTTACAAAAGGATTTAGATAATTTAGTGTGTTAGGCAAATAAATGGAAAATGGGTTTTAAATATTGTTACGTCTCAGTTCACTCGTTAATTTTCCGTAAATTCGTTCCGACGAAACTTTAGCGACACAAGTCCTTTCTTAAATAAAACTGGTTTATTCTTTCCGAATACAACTTTACGATACACTTAATTTCAACAGTCGCTCTATAACAATGCTATAACTCACGTCTCACGTGGCCAACAATATTTTGTCCACATACATTCAATTACTCATTACACTGTTGTACCGTCATGTTGTGAACGTCTTATATATACAAGACTAATACATGTCTAGTAAATGCTAGGGCATTCATGAAGGAACAGGATATTCGAGAGCTCTGGCCATTGCATCCTGCATGGTAGAGGGGTGTGCTTGCTTTACTTGTATCTTAAATTGTGGACTGTCCAAGTCATCTACGAACTGATCCCTCAGCAACAACTTGAGGAGATCGGGTGGTGCAGTTGGGTAGGCCTTGTGTGCCATGCTTTCCAAGTCCTGTGCCAGCTCTTGCAGGCTCTCCCCTTTAGCACGGACTCTCGTCCTGAACCTAGCCCTGTAGACTTCTGACTGATTTTGGGTTCCGTACCTGAGTTCTAGAGCTGCTACCAGTGCTCTATAGTTGTGTCTGTCGTCTGCTGACAACTGTCCAAGTATTTCTAGTGGTTGTCCCTTCAAGGTCGTTGCCAGATATACTGCTTTCTGCTCCCCTGTCCATCCATTCATCTCAGCCAGTAGCTCAAATTGTGCTCTATATGCTTCCCACGGTGCTTTGCCATCTATTCCTGTGGCTTCCTTCTTACTGGATCACTTCTATTACTGACATTCATATCTGAGATGTGACTTCTAACAGGACTGAAGATGTCTGCATTAGGGTTTAGCTGCGGGCTCTGGAAGGGGCTTGCCATTGTCTGGGGCTGATTAAATCGATGGTCAATGTATCCTCCTTGTATAAAAGACAATAGATCATACTTTAATGTATCTAATTCGCTTTTAAATTTACTAATGTTTTCCATTTGTTCTTCTTGCCACTGTTGTATTCTCTCTTCTTGTTTATTTTCTTTCTCCTCCAATAGCTGTTGTAATCTCTCTTCTTGTTTCTTTTCTTTTTCCTCAAACAACTGCTGTAATCTCTCTTGTTTATTTTGTTGTTCGAGCTGCCACTGTTGCAGGTTTTCTTGCCACTGTTGTTGTCTCTCTTCTTGTTTCTTTTCTCGTTCTTCTTGTTTCTTTTTCTTTTTCCTCCAACAACTGTTGTAATCTCTCTTGTTTATTTTGTTGTTCGAGCTGCCACTGTTGCAGGTTTTCTTGCCACTGTTGTTGTCTCTCTTCTTGTTTCTTTTCTCGTTCTTCTTGTTTCTTTTTCTTTTTCCTCCAACAACTGTTGTAATCTCTCTTGTTTATTTTGTTGTTCGAGCTGCCACTGTTGCAGGTTTTCTTGCCACTGTTGTTGTCTCTCTTCTTGTTTCTTTGCTCGTT